GAGCCGCGCAATTGTCGCTATTCTCGTTGGTGTTTGGGAGGTCCAGCAGAGTGGGGGTCCACGCGGACCTGCCGAGACCTCGCGGCCATTTGCGGGGCTGCGAACCGCGCAGCCGTCGCCATTTTCGCGGGTTCCTGGCAGGCCCAGCGGAATGGAGGTCCACGCGGATTTGCCGAGACTTTAACCTTCCTTGAGTTGGGTTTTCGTTTCGAATTAGATCACTGTCTGCCCAACCTCCTCTTTCCTCCTCCCTCCTCCCTCCGCCTCCCCTTCGTCCACGCCCCGCCCCCCTCTCTTTCGTGTTTATTCGTCTTCTCCCTTGTCGAGACTTCGCGGGCCCTGCGGGGCTGCGAACGGCGCAACTATCGCCTTCTTCGTGGGGTCCTGGGGGTCCAGCGGACTTGGAGGTCCACGTGGTCCACGGGGGTCCTCGCGGATTTGCCGAGAGTTGCGAACCGCGCAACCGTCGCCATTTTTTGTGGGTTCCTGGGAGGTCCAGCCGAGACCTCGCGGCTCCTTGACTCCTTGCGGGGCTGTGAACCGCGCAATTGTCGCCATTTTTGTGGGTTCCTGGCAGGTCCAGCTCATGTCAACATGTTATTTTGTATTGAGCGGACTCAAATCGATTCGCCAGATGCGTGGAGGGGTCGGGTACGTCACCGGGCAATTTCAGACGGCCTAAAAAACGGCAGTGAATTTTGCTTCTTGTGACATTCTTGAGAGACTTCTTGGGGGCCTCTTGGGGCGTCTTGGAGGCTTCTCGGGCCGTCAGGGGGCCAGCTTGGGCGTCTTGGGGGGAGTTCTCTTTCGGCGACCCGTGCACGTGGACCTCTTGGGCCGTCGGCCGGCTGGGCCCGTTCTTGGGCCCTCCTGAGCCCGAGCAGGTCGCGCGGGGGGCCGCGAGGGACCCCCCTCGAATTCCCCCTCGAAAACCCTTGGGATCGAGGACTGGTGCTCGGGGGATTGGGCACGGGACCTGGGGGCGCGCCCACTCCGCGCCCGGAGGCACGATGGCGGATGCGGTGCATGCGGCAGGGCATCCTCGTGCGCGCCCTTATTTTACTGTGTTTGCTTTGCCTGCAGGGGTTGGCCGCGCAACAGCGCCATTCCGCTGCGTCTAACTTTTTCTGCCCGGTGGGGGGGGGGCGATTCGATTGGGCGCGGGGGTTGGCTGAGGAAGTGGGGAGCCCCATGGGGCTCCCCATCTCGCTCCCTGGGCGCAGAGGGGCGCGGCTGGCGTGGCATCCTGTCTTCTCGCGCAGGCTGCAGCTGTCTCGTCGGGCGCCGCGGGCTCGCAGACTGTCTCGTTTCCCCGTGCCGCCCGGCAGGGCTCGCGCGCGCGCGCTCGCGCGCCCCCGCGTCGCGTCCGCCCGAGGCGTCGCGGGAGGGGGATCTCAGGGTGGTTCCGCTGCGGACGAGGGCCTCCCCGTGGGTCTCGCGCCAATCGTAGCGCCGCAGCGGCCAGGCCGTTGGCCATCGGATCGGGTCCTCCAGATCAGGTCCTCGGCCAGCAACTGCCCTCTTTGGGGAGGTTATCTTCGCGAGCGCCCGCGAGGCAGCGCCCGCGCCTCCCCGGCCGCGAAGACGCCGTCGGAGGCGAGCGCCGTCGCGGCCCCGACCTCGGAGGGAGAACGTCGTTCCCCAACCCGAGTCGGCCACCCGTGTTGTTCAGATGGGGGAGGGGCGGCGGCGGGCCCCGAGCAGGCATGGGAATGCAGCTGCACGCGGGCGCGCCCTCGCCCCTGCCTTATCGCCAGGCGCTGGCGAACCGAGTGTGCGTGGGGGCAAATGTGCGGTGAGGCTGCCGCGTGCCTTGCTTCTTGCTTCCCGCGCCACCCGCAGCGCGCGCGCGCGCCCCCGCGCCGCGTCCGCCCGATGCGCCGCGCGAGGGGGGAGCTCGGAGTGATTCCGCTAGGGGCGAGGGCCCCCTGTCAAGGGCGTAGAAAGCGCCCCTACCCTGATTTCTGAGGCGTTGTGCGCTGAACCTCCTGTGGGCTGACAGGGTAAACCCTGCGCCTCGCGCGTGCCGCGCGGCGTCCTGGCGGCTCTCTGGCCTGTGGGAGCTCCCAGGAGGTTTACTGACTACGCACTCGTAACCCAGGGTAGGGGGGTTTATTCATCCCTCAACCCTGGGGACCTCGAGCCAGTCACTGCGCCGCAGAGGTGAGGTGCTTGGCCCGCGGATCGAGCCCTCGGCCAACAACTGCCCCCTGTGGAGAGGTTCTCTTGGCGCGCTCCCGACTTCCCCGCTATATCAGGGCCCACTGCGCGGCGCACGCAACCCTCGGCCACCGTTAATGAGCGCGGCCGTTCGGGCGAGTGAGCCGGGACATCTGATTCGAGGGATGGCAGCTCATCCTCCAAAGAGTTCGCGGTCCTCCGCGCCGACTCCGCGACATGGCGTCGCTCTGGCAGCCACGGGCCAGTTTCTGCCAGCGCGCTAACTCTACGGTGCCAGTTCGAGGAGCTGTTCCCCCCTTGAATTCCCGAGGACCTGTGCCCGTTCGAATTCCCGAGGTGTTGTGGCCCCATGAATTCCGGGCGCTGTGCTCCTTCGAATGTTTTCGAATGTTCGGGGCGCTGGGCCTCTTCGAATTTCCGAGGCGTTGTGCCCCCTCATGGATTTTCGAGTCTGGGGCTATTGCAGGTTTTGTAAAGATGGATTTGTTTTGGTTTATGAAGACAACCTCAGTCACAATTACACGCCAAAGGGAAGATATTACTGTGCTGGTGCCCTTTCTTGGAAACTGCAAACGGCGAGGCCTGCTATGTGCCGGCCGCGTGCGCACCAGGCGCATCATCATGTATTCGAGAGCCCAGCTCGGATGCAGAGGGTTCTACTTTGTGGCGCCTGGTGTTTGTGCAATGGGCTCCCTGACCGTGGCTCTCGGAACTCATGCTGGAGGCCATTTGCACAGTCGAGACTCCACCTGAGAGGTGCACCTCTTGCCGCAGAACCTGTTCTTCCCTGGGGGTGGAGGGCGGGGGGCAACGGTCGCGGCAAACGAGCGAAGAGGACGAGCTCCTCCTCCTCCTCCTCCCCCTCCTCCGCCTACTCCTCCTCCTCCTCCTCCTCCTCCTCCTCCTGCTCCTCCCTCCCTCCTCCTCCTCCTCCTCCTGGTCCTCCTCCCTCCCTCCTCCTTCCCCCCTCCTCCCTCCTCCCTCCACTCCTTTTTTTTGTCAAGCCGCCGCCCCGGCTCAGGCTTCGGGCGCTGCTACCAGGTAGCGGCGAGCTCGAGCGAGGGCAGCTGCCAGACGCGCCGGCCCTTCTCTCCACGCGCGCCCCCAGACGCGCGCATTGGGCCGACCGTGATCAGATTCAGACTCAGCCACGGCTCTTGCGAGAGCCAGAGGCATCGAACCACCGTGGCACAGAAGGGGGCGCGCAGGGCGCAGTCGAGCGCGCACTCTGATCCGAGTGGCCACGGCAGCTCACTTGTTGAATAGCCACCACAGTGCCTACAGAGACGAGAAGCGAGAAGCAGCCAGCAAACATGTTTGAATATCGAGATTGTTCTAGAAGACCCAGCAGATCGAAGCAGCAGCACCAGCGTCCTCCTTGGCAGCAACAGTAGCATCATTCCTCTCAGACAAAGCAGTATCGGTACAGAAAGACATGGGAATATCCGGCATGTTCATGCGCGAATCCATGCGGGGCCAAAAAATGCAGACCGTGTCATCCGAGCAGAGGTTTCGATCCCGCATCATCGGTCTCAAGCAGCAGTGGATGGCAGAGCGAGAGCTCTCCTCGCACCCCCTCTCGAAAGAGAGCATCGTCCGGCTCGAGGAGAGCCGCGTCCATGCAGCCAGCGTATGTCGGGGGGGGGCCACCCTCCGGTTCGAAACGCGCCGCCGGATGTTCCCAGGGCAAGCGCCCGTGAAACGCGCTCTCTCGTTTTTCGCCACCCCCGCGAGCTCAGGGTTAGGGCTCGCCTAGTAGAAGTTGAGGTTCTTCCCGAGGAGCCGCGGCATTTCTTCAGCTCGCTGGCTCAACCACGTATTGGTGCTGTGCCTTCAGCAGAAGAAGGAATCAAGAGCGAGAAAGTCAGGGATGGAAGGTAAAAGAGGTTGCTTGTCTGACCCGTGTGTCCGTTACCGCTCGTGGTGGGCCCTGCCCGTGTTTCCTCTGGTGGTTCGGGTTCGCCCGGAGTTTCTCCGTGTAGGACCCTCGCAGAAGAGATCCCTCCGCCTCGCCAGGCACCGAGGCTGATGGATGGATTTTGCCCTCCTCCCCGGACTCAGGGGACCTCCTTGCGATGCCTCCTGGTCCAGGGGGGCTGGGGGTGGAGCGTACCCCTGAGGCTAGTCGTGAGCTTGGGCCTCTGGAGGCCCGCGCCGTCCGACCCAGGATCTCGCCGACCTTCGTGCGCGTTCGCTCCTCCGACCCTGCGTGTCGGGGCGGGGCGTCGTCGTCTTCGTCGTCGTCGTCGTCGTCGTCCTCGTGTCAGTCCTCGAGTGTCCCTTACTCCTACCGCGGCCGATTGCTCGGGTGGTAGTGCTGCCCTCGCTCGCGCTGTGGCTGTCATCCGCCCCGGGTCTGATGGTGATATGCCCCTCCCAGATCCCGAAGACGGAAGGACCGATAGATTTTACGATTTATTGGCAGAAATGCGGAACATCCTCCGAAGATCATGACTCGAAGAGTTACCGAGCATGCTCGGCGCCACGGCGCTGCCCGTCCACTCCTAGAGGGACCGCGCCCTGGCCCGTATGGGAGCGTCCGCCTCTGTCCGTCTCTCTAGGATGTCCTGCTGGTTTGGGTCGGCCCTGCCTCAGAGCTTTTTAATGAAGCTTAGAGGGTGAGGGTGGTCCAACGGGGCCGCCCTTTCCTGTCGCAGGCCACCGTGCCTGCTGCGGCTTAACCGCAGGTGGGGATCGTTAGGCCTCAAGCGGTCCCAGGCCACATGTGTTGGGTCTCCCGCGCTTCCGATCCATAGTGCCGTATCCTCTACCCCTCCTCCTCCTCCTCCTCCTCCTCCTCCTCCTCCTTCTCCTCCCAGGTCTTTTCTTCCTCTGCAACCTCGTCGGCAACATCGTCGCTAAGGCCGTTACCAGTGACCCTGCCCAGGCGCAGAACCTCAGCTCGACGATCTCGGCCGTATGCATGGGTGGAATCTTCCACGGGTACCGCCGCCAGCTGAGGACGCGGCTCGGCGGGAACGAGAACGCCCAGCCGGTCCTCGGAGTGCGCCAACTGTGCACCTGCTTGGACCCTGGCCGTGCCCATGCTGGCCCTGGTAGGTCGCGTGTTGTACGCCATGGCGGACGACACTCGTCCTGGGCCCACGATGTGCCTTGCCAGGATCGGTGTAGGTGTACCGTTTGCGCCCTCCCAGATCTGGATGGACTTCCTCCTGTACTCGTGCTGCTTGTGCTGCGCCATCGCGCAGGAGGCGAGGGAGCTCGACGCCGCCATGGGCGTCAAGGTCGAGTGCTGCTGCAACCTCCAGTCCGTGGGCGGCCCGGCGGCGAGCGAGATGCGCACCAATCCTGGCGGCATGCCGCAGGTGACCGGACAGCCGGTGGAAGTGCAGCCCGCCACGCAGCAGGCCCTTGCCGGCACGCCGCAGGTCACGGGCCAGCCGGTTGGGTAGCTCCTGGACTCGCAGTGATCGGCGAGGGGGAGGAGAGAATAATAACAATGACGACGACGACCACGACGACGACGATGATAATGATGATGATGTTGATGATGATGCTGATGATGATGGTGATTATGATGTTGATGATGACGATCATGATGATGATGATGCTGATGTTGTTGCTGATGATGACGACGATTCTGATGATTATGATGACGACGAGGATGATGATACAGATGACGATGCTGATAGTGGTGGTAGGGATGCTGCTACTGATGGTGATGATGGTGATAAGGACGCTGCTGCTGCTGCGGATGCTGATGATTTAGGAATGGTAATTGATGATGATGGTAATGATGATGCTGTTGATGATGAGGATGATGATGATCATGACGACTATGATGAGGATGATGATGAGGATGATGAGGAAGATGAGGATAATGGTGATCAGGACGATGATAATGATCATGCTGATGCTGATGCTGATGATGATCATGACGGCTATGATGAGGATGAGGATGATGAGGTGGATGAGGATCATGATGATCAGGACGATGATAATGATGCTGATGATGTTGATGATGCTGGTGCTGGTGCTGGTTGGGGGGCGGATCATGCTCTTGCTGATGCTGATGTTGCTGATAATCGTGGTGGCGGTGATGGTTTTGCTGATGCTGATGCGGCTGATGTCGATGATGATGATGATGGTGATGGTGATGATGATTATGATAATGCTGATTGCGATTCTGACTGTGACGATGAAAATGACGATGCTGATGATGTCGATGGCGATGGTGACGGTGATGATGACGACGATGACGACGTTGATGATGCTGATGATGATGACGATGCTGCTGATGATTATGACGATGATGATGCTGATGATGATGATGATGATGATGATGATGATGATGATGATGATGATGATGATATGTGGTGGTGGTGGTGGTAGTGATGCTGCTACTGATGGTGATGATGGTGGTAAGGATGCTGTTGCTGCTGCGAGTGATGATGATTGAGGACTGGTGATTGATGATGATGGCAATGATGCTGCTGCTGGTAATGATGATGATGGTGATGATGATGATGATGATGATGATGATGATGATGAAAATGATGACGATGCTGATGCTGCTGCTGCTGATGATGATGATGATGATGATCATGACGACTATGATGAGGATCAAGATGATGATGAGGATGATGAGGAAGGTGAGGATGCTGATACTCAGGACGATGGTAATGATGATGCAGAGGATGGGGATGCTGATGATGATGTTGATGATGCATGTGCTGGTGCTGGTTGGGGTAGGGGGGGTCATGCTCTTGCTAATGCTGATGCTGCTTCATGCTGGTGCGGATGCTGCTGATGTCGATGACGATGATGATATTCATGATCGTGATGACTGATGCTGATGATTGCGATGATGATGCTGCTGCTGTTTGAGATGATGAAAGAAATGATGCTGATGCTGTCGATGGCGACGCTGATGGTGATGACGATGATGACGACGTTGATGATGCTGATGATGCATTTGACGATGCTGATGATGACGGCGACCATCATGACGGCGATGATGATGCTGACGATGATGTTGATGCTGCTGCTGACGCTCAGGCAGCTGCTGCTGATGATGCTGATGACGATGATGCTGATGCTGATGCTGCTGATGATGATGATGATGATGATGATAATGATAACGACGATGATGATGCTGGTGCTGATGAGGATGATGCCGATGCTGTGATTATGACGATGATGATGCTGCTGCGGCTGACGATGATGCTGATGATGCTGATGATGATCATGACGATGCTGAAGATGATGATGATGCTGATGTCAACGATGCTGATATTGATCATGGTGCTGGTGATGATGCTGCTACTCATGGTCATGATGTTGATGATGCTGTCGTTGCTGCGGATGATGATGATTGAGGATTGGTGATCGGCGATGATGCTTCTGCTGCTGCTGCTGCTGCTGCTGCTGGTGGTGATGATGATGATGATGATGATGATGATGATGATGATGATGATGATGATGATACAGTCAATGCGGCTCATGATGATGCTGATGATGATAATGCTGCGGCTGCCGTTGCGGCCGCTGCTCATGATGACGATGAGTGATGATGATGATGGTGATGATGATGATGATGATGACGATGAGTGAGTGAGTGAGTGATGATGATGATGATGATGATGATGATGATGATGATGATGATGATGATGATGATGATGATGATGATGATGATGATGATGATGATGCGGATGATGATGACATGATCATGAGATGATGATTTTAGGACTGAGTAGGAGGAGGAGGAGGGAGATGTCGACGAGGAAGGGTAGAAGGAAGAGCAGGAGGGACAGTGCTACCGATTGCCTTCTTAGTGGTGCCCTGACGCCGACATCAGGTTGACGATGCCTCTCGCTTCGCGGGGTGCACGCCTGGAACGCGTAGTGTCGCGTCGTTGGTTGGTTTGCGCCGCTCGTCTGCCGTGCTGTTCTGCCCTGTGTTCTGCTGTCTTTGGGGACCCTTGGGGGGCCTCTGGGAGGCTTCTTGGGAGTCTTGCGGAGTTTCCTGGAGGCGTTTCTCGGGCCTCTGGGGCTAACTTGGGGGGGGGGGGGGGAGAGGCGAGGCGCCCAACGCCAGTTCGATTTCCCTCTCTTGGGCTCCTCTTGGGGCCCTCTAGGTGGCCTCTGGGGACGTAGTGGGGGCCTCTTGTGTTGGCTGGGGGCCCGTTGATCCGTCCTGGGGCTTGGGCCGTCTCGGGGCGATCCTGGTGGCCTCTTGGGCCATCTTGGGGCTACCCGAATCTCGAGAAGGCGATATTGATCAAATCTTTCAAACACTTAGGATAAGGTGTGCAGATGTGTATGCATATGTGAGCATCATATACACACCCATAGTGATATGCGTATATATATATATATACACTCATATGCAAACATGTATTTATATTGCGAAGGCCTTACGGCCGGTGCCGCCGACCCTTAATGGCGACGACGACGACGGCGACGACGACGACGACAAGGACGACGAGGACGACGACGACGACGACGAGCGCTCTCGGGGGCCTCTTGAGGGTAGTTTTGGGGCCTCTTGGGAGGCTCTTGGGGGCCGCTTCGGAGCCTCCTGGGGGCCCCTTGGGGCTTCCTGGGGGTCTCCTGGGGGCCTCTTGGGGCCTCTTGGGGGGCTTCTTACGGGCCTCTGGGGGCCTCCTGGGAGCTTCTCAGGCCGAGGGCTCGAAATGACCGTTAGGGTCCTCCGTCTGGGCTCCTTCTTGGAGCTGTCTTGGGGGCCTCTTCGGCATTCTTGGAGGCCTCTTGGGCGGTCTTGGGGCCCTCTTGGGTCGTTTTGGGGCCCTGTTGGAGGCCCATTGGGCCATCTTCGGGCGGTCTTGGAGGCCTCTGGGCCTGTGTCTTGGAGCGTCGGGAAGCTGACAAGGCGAGAATGCCGAAATCTTTCAAAAATCTTGGGGGAATCGAGGATTCCTCTCGCTTCGCGGGGTGCACGTCTGGAGTACGTACAGTTTAGTCGTTGCGGGGCCTGTTGGAGGTTCCTGGGGGCTGCATGGAGGATTCTTGAGGGCCTCTGCGGGGCTTCTTTGGGGCCTCTTGGGGGCCTCTTGAGGGCCTCTTGGGGCCTCTCTGGGGCGTCTTGGGCCCCTTTGGGTGCTTCTTGGCTCTTTTTGGGGTCATTTTGGAGGCTGCTTGGGCTGTCATTGGCTTGTGAAAGCCAAAAAAGGCAAGTACTGTAGAATCGGTCAAAACCTACTCTCCCACCCGTGCATCGCTGCTTAATTCGCGTTCGTATGTCCTACCAGCGCCCTATCCGCCGGCGCAGTCCTTCTGCCCAGCCGCCGATGCAATATGTGTGTGTATGTGTGTGTGTGTATGTGTGTGTGTGTGTGTGTGTGTGTGCGTGTGCGTGTGCGTGTGTGCGTGTGCGTGTGTGCGTGCCCTCCTCTCCGAGCTGGGAGGCCGCACGCGCCGAGCCGGGGCCCAGGAGCGGCCCGGCCAGGATCGGTGCAGGTGTGCAGCTGGTGCCCTCCAGCACATTGAGCAGATCTGCGTCGGGGGAGGAGCAACAATCATCCTGGCGAAGGGCCCAGCCATGTGCAGTTGCGGGTACCGCAATTGTCAATATCTTCTTCGGTGATGCTCCCTATGTGGCCACCAAGCGCTGCACTGGGTGGGGGGGACCGCATGCGGGCGGTCCCACTGGGGCCGTCGGTGGAGCTCCCTATGGGGCCACGAAGCGCTGTACTGAGTGGGCGATCATGCCAAATTGGGTGTGTGGGATGCATGCGGGCGGTCCCACTGGGGACTTCGGTGGAGCTCCCAAGTGGCCCACGAAACGCTGTAATGGGTGGGTGAAAATTCCAATTCGGTGTGTGGGATGCATGCATGCGGGCGGTCCCACTGGGGGCTTCTGTGGAGCTCCCTGTGGGGCCACGAAGCGTTGTACTGGGTGGGTGAAAATGACAAATTGGGTGTGAGGGACGCATGCGGGCGGTCCCACTGGGGGCTTCGGTGGAGTTCCCTATGGGGCCACGAAGCGCTGTGCTGGTGGGACGCATGCGGGCGGTCCCACTGGGAGCTTCGGTGGAGCTCCCTATGGGGCCACGACACGTTGTACTGGGTGGGTGAACATTCAAATTGGGTGTGTGGGACGCATGCGGGCGGTCCCACTGGGGCCTTCGGTGGAGCTCCCTATGGGGCCACGAAGCGATGTAGTGGGTGGATGAAAATGCCAAATCTGGTCTTCGGGACGCATGCGGACGGTCCCACTGGGGGCTTCTGTGGAGCTCCCTATGGAGCCACGAACCGCTGTACTGGGTGGGTGATCATGCCAAATTGTGTGTGTGTGTGTGGTGCATGCGGGCATTTCCACTGGGGGCTTCGGTGGAGCTCCCTATGGGGCCACGAAGCGCTGTAATGGGTGGAAGTGCCAAGTGGGATTTTCGGGACGCATGCGGGCGGTCCCACTGGGGGCTTCGGTGGAG